AGAGATGAGGTGCTTTGCCCAGGTTCATGCCCAGGTCAGTAGGTGAGATGAGGAAACTAACTTTTGCCTGTACTTTCAATTACCAGGTCAAACCGCCTCCTACCATTCTCTTGTTGAAGGAGGTAGTGATTTTCTTGAAATATGAATGGTAATTTGGGAAGAAAATTATACTTAGATCTTTTGAGACATTTGAGATATAAAGCTATGTGATACTCTTTGGAATTCTAGTGGAGTTTACAACCAAAATGGTGTATTCGGCATTTCATTCTCTTCTACATACTTAAATCCAGGATTTAATTAATTTTTTTAGTCTAGAAGTTTACTTAGACATCATAACTCATTTATGACTCAATTGATCTTTAAAAATTTAGTTTTGAGTAATTTATACAACGTGTCAAGGAGTGGGGAGTTATGCCCTGCCTTCTAGGGGGCAGAGTATCTACATACATTATTTGGAATTCTTCTGAGTGGAATATTTGTTCTTCTCTATTTATTCAGTCCTTTATTTATATCAGTGTGGACTCCTGGATTATCTTAGTCCATTCAGGCTGCTATAACAAAATACCACAGGCTGGGTGGCTTATAAACAACAGACATTTATTTCTCACCGTTCTGAGGGTGGGAGATCTAAAGTCATTGCACTTGCTTGGTTGGGTGAGGGCCTTCTTTTAGGTCACGGACTTTTTGTATCCTCACATGGCGCAAAGGGTCTAGGGATCTCTGGAGCCAAAGCCTTTGGTAAGGGTTCCACCCTCATGATTTAAGCATTTCCCAGAGGCTGTTACCTACTAATGCCATCATTTTTGGGAATTAGGATTTTAACATTTGAATTTGGAGGGGCAGGACACAAACATTCAGACCGTAGCGTAGCATGGATATTATTTTATTCTTTGGATTATAATCCAGTACTGCTTTATTTTGTTACTCAAATGGTTCCATGTGCAAATCATTGGGAGCTCTTTCAATCAACTTTTATATCCTTTTGACATATGCACTCATTTTGTGTGTTTCATATATACACACTTAGCACTTCCTTACTTTATGGAAACAAGATGCTCCAAGTTCACCTTATATATTTTGTGTACCTGTCCTAGACTCAGCCATTTCTCCAAGTAGCTGTGGTTCCTTTTATTGGAGAGTGGTATTAGAAACCAAGATCTGGCTGCTACGTATACTTGTTGGTCCTGGCATATTGTTGCTTGTAGGTCCTCTCAGCTAACAGAGCAAGGACATGTGTGTGCGTGGCTGACCTGAGTGTACACAGAGTATATCTACCAGTATTTCAATGTTTAGCCGTCTGTATCTGTGTTAAGCTAAATATGAGTTCATACTGACGTGTCAAAGTCTAATCCGTTACCCTATAGATTACTCTAGACTCCTTTTGCTTATCTATAACATCCTACTCTACCATTGAGAAGCCTCATTCATTCCCACCATCTACTTATTTAATTGTTCGGTTTCAATATAAATGAATAGTGGTGTGAGAATTGTTAAACTCTACCTGCCGTAAGATAACTTTATCAACTAGAGTACAGTGATTCCGTGGAGTTTCTTTTGCTTTTAGTCTTACAGATTCCATTCATTTCTTTCTTTCTTTCTTTTTTTTTTTTTAAGATTTTATTTATTTATTTGAAAGAGAGAGAGACAGTGAGAGAGGGAAAACAAGCAGGGGGAATGGGAGAGGGAAGAGCAGACTTCCCACTGAGCAGATTCCACTCATTTCTAAAGTTACTCAGGTCAGCACCTTATCCCCCACCTCCTTCAGTAAGGTTGTTTTATACATTTGTCATACATTTAGATTCTTGTGCCATATCCTGCCTTCCATTCTGGGGTAGCCTGACTTTCTAAATGATTTCTTAAAATTTTACAACATCTGTGGGTTTTGACAAATACATAATGTCACTTACTCACCATTATAGTATCATATGGGATAGTTTCACCACCATAAAAGATGTGCTGTGCTTCAGCCATTCAGTCTTAATCCCTTCCCCTCAAACATCTAGCAACCAATGATCTTTTTACTCTCGCTGTAGTTTTGCCTTTTCCAGAATGTTGTAATTGCAGTTACACAATATACAGCCTTTTCATGTTCGCTTTTTGCACTTAGCAATATGCATTTAAGCCTAATCCATGTTTTTCATGGCTTGTTAGCTCATTTCTCTCTTTTTTAAAAAAGATTTTTATTTATTTATCAGAGAGAGAGAGAGAATGTGCACGCCCACAAGCAGGGGGGAGGGGCAAAGGAAGAAAGAGTGGATCATGACCTGAGCCAAAGGCAGATGCTTAACAGACTGAGCCACCCAGGCACCCTTCATTAGCTTATTTCTCTTTATTGCTAAATAATATTTAATTGTATGGATATCCCACAACTTGTGTATTCACTTGCCTATTGCAGGACATTTTTGGTACTTTAAGTTTTGTATAGTAATGAATAAAGCTGCTGTGAACATTGACATGCAGGTTTTTGTGTGGACGTAAGTCTTCAAGTCAGTTGAGTAAATAGTTAGTAGTGTGATTGCTAGGTCATATTGTAAGATTATAGTTAGCTTTATTAGAAACTGCCAAACAGTCTTCCAGAGTAACTCCCATTTTGCATTCTTATTAGCAGCAAATGAGAATTTTTGGTGCTGCATATCCTTGCCAAAATTGACAGTCAGTTTTCGGATATTAGCCATTCTAATAGGCATGTAGTGGAATCTCATTTTTGTTTTAACTTCAGTTCACTAATGACAGATGAGCATCTTTTCGTATGCTCATTTATCATATCTGTATCTTCTTTGATGACATGTGTTCAGATCTTTGACTCATTTTTAATTGGGTTATCTTCTTGTTGAGTTTTAAGTGTTCTTTGTGTATTTTAGACACAAGTCCTTTAATCTGATATGGAATATGGCAAGCAGGACTTGTATAATCATGCACTAAGATGAAATGAGATGACAAGGGGGATGAGTCAGTTATGACTTTATATTTCCAGCCTGGGTCTCTGGGAAAATGGAGAGTACCAGTAGCAGAGAGAGTAAAGCTGAGAGTTGAAATCACTTTGGGAGGATGTGGGATGGAGATGACTCACTTAATTTTGAGGCAAGATGGAAGAATACCCAAGAACTGGAGATGAAAAAGATATTACAATTCTTGATTCAGATTTTGCTGTCATCATTATAGATTATGGAAGAGGAGAGGTAAGGAGCAAATCAGAAGTTAGGATAAGAACAATACAGTGTTGTGTCACAAAAGTGATGAAGTTTTAAGAGGGAATCAAATGTCAGCTATGAAAGACTGAAGGACATGATTGAAGAGAATGGGAAGTTCTCATTGTCTATCTTCTTGAAGGTCAAATCAGCTATTAGTTTACTTCAATATCCTGTGCCTTTTGTATCTGAGGACTGTAATTTACTCTGTCAGGAGAACTCTGTCTTACTTTATTCAGGCTTTTATCTTTAGCACCTTGTAGAATTTCTCAAATTGAATTTTACATCACTGGAGGTCTTTTGCCACATGAGCACAGATGGGGGTCTTATTTTTCTTTTATCTAGTACAACTATATAATTATATATCCATATCTGTCTATCTATAGTTTAAATTGACTGTGGAAGTACTGGATTCATTGAAAAAAATTATTTGCCTTCTCAACTTACCATTCTCTTGAAGAATCCTAACAGTTGTGACTTTAGTCCCCTACAGAACTAATTAACATGTGTTAATTGTGTGGCTGGTCTGGTGGTGGGAACATGCAGCCTGTTCCCTGGAGTCATAAAGATAGGCTTCCTTTTCTTCTTTTCTGCCTCTGAAAGGACAATTTTCTGCTTCCTTTTTTACCTGACTATCCCGAAGGATGGTAGTAATTTACTGAATAATTCACAGAGAGGATATAACAGTAAAAATAATAGCCATCACGGAGTAATAATTATTGATAGCCTGTTCGTGATTTGGAGTTGTCTAATGAATGGCATACCCACATGAAGTGCCTGTTTCGAAACACATGATTTTATATGTTCAACATGAAAATGTGTAGAAGTACTGTGTTTGAAAATCCTATGTATATTTAACAGTTGTTATTAGACTGAAATATATTTCAGTGAAACTGATTGCTTACATGGAATATGAATGGACAAATGTCAATTACTCTGAGCTGAATACTAGTTTTATCACCGGATTCAGTGCCCCTGAGAGAAAGGAGAATTTGTGCTGTAAACAGTGAAAGATAGGAATCTATTCAGTAAACACTGTTTTAGCACCTGAAGTGTACCAGCACTGTATTCTCCTGTTCGCTTCTCTGGCTAGAGTTTCACTTACCTTGCGAATTAAAGCTATGGTAACTATTTACAGGAAGGTCTGAGTACTTTGTAGGGCTTACCTTTACAGCATTGAAATGCACCATTGCCTCCAGGACAACCCTGGGATCTGCTCTTGGAAAACAGCTGTCACGTGATACAATGTCTATAGTTTAAAACTGCTAAAGATTTAACCTTTGTCTTTTTTACTATTTTTTCATAGTAGCAAAATATACATAACATAAAATTTGCCACTTTAACCACTTCAAGTCTATAATTCAGTGGCAGTAATTATACTCGCAACATGTACTATAACCATTACCTCTGTCCACGTCTAAAACTTGGCCTTCACCCAAAACAGAATTCTGTACCTATTAAGCCATAATTCCCATGCTTCCCTCCCTCAGCTCACTGTAACTGCTAATCTGCTCTGTCCCTATGAAGTTGCCTATTCTAGATATTTCATGTAAGTGGAATCATACAATAATCATCCCTTGTGTCTGGCTTTTTTTAACTTACCATATTGTTTTCAAGGTTCCTCCATGTTGTAACATGTATCTGAACTTAAGTCTTCTTCATGGATGAATAATATTCCATTGTATGTGTATATATCTTTACATTCATTTTCTATCTTAAATCAATCTTAGCATAATGTGTCATTTTCCTATATTTTTGATGCTTATGAAGGTGTCATCTAGGTTAATTTTATTCTTTCTAATTCTTTTACAGGTTTGACAGATGAAAAAGTGAAGGCATATCTTTCTCTTCATCCCCAGGTGTTAGACGAATTTGTATCTGAAAGTGTTAGTGCAGAGACTGTAGAAAAATGGCTGAAGAGGAAAAACAACAAACCAGAAGGTAAGATCTTATTCAGATTGAGTGTGGATTATTTTCTAGTTTATAGTGACAAGAAAACTGCTGGAAAGTAACATATAAAGTAGACAAAATTGGCATTTTAATTCTGTAAAAGTTTTATTCTGTTTAAAAAGATAAAATAAGTTAGAATGAGGGGAAATAAATAAAGTCCTTGACTCAAAAAAACTTGCAAAGAACTTTTGAAAATTTATTTAGACATGACCATATTGAAAATGCAGAAGTCAATATTAGACTTGATTTTATTTAATGATTGTTATTAATGATTGCACAATGTTCTTTGTATTTCAAAAATATATTTATATTATTACCTTTTACAAAAAGAAGTCTTTAAACAATTTTTCTATGGACACAGTAGGTAATTTGCATTAGATGCTTTGTTCACACTCATGAACTTAAGATGCTGTTATATTTATAAAAAAAAGAAATGTGGGCTTGAAGGGGATGTGAAGTGAAATAAATTTCCCTCCATGTTGAATATGTATTAATGTATTGGATTTGATTGGATTTGAATATTTTAGTATGGTTTTAATTTTAAATGAATCTATATTTGGCTAAATAGAACTTCTTATTTCTATGAATATTCTTCTTATAGTAGAAAATTATGTTACATGATTTTAACTATATGAAGAACTTTTATGTTAAAAACAAAAATACATGCTATTTTTCTGGAAATTTATTTAGTGTAACAAAATGCTATAAAGCTTAAAAATGCCGGTAGTTTAAAAATGATCACTATAAATGTTATGCTGTTAGAACTGTGGTACTAGTATGCTGCTTGGAGCTGATTTTCCTCCGTTTTCAAAGTTTCTGTAATTTTCTGACATAATTTTTATATTAAAGAGATAAATATTTCCAGAAGAGAGCTTTTGGTGTCAAGGCACAAATTAGATTTTAGAGTACATGTGTGGGCGCCTGGGTGGCTCAGTTGGTTAAACATCCGACTCTTGATCTCAGCTCAGGTCTTGATCTCAAGGTCGTGCATTTGAGCCCCTCATTGGGCTCCATGCGCCCACTTAAAGTAAAGTACATGTGCATGAGTATGTGTGTGTGTGTTTATGGATTGAGAGGGAGGGGTAAGGGAGAGGGAGAGAGAAATATAAACACGTCAGAGAAATGTATTCTTTTCAAAACAACCATAACATTTAATATTAAAAACAAAGCTTGAAATGGCATATCTCAGTTATTACAAACCTCAAACATTTGAAAACAATTGAGATGTTTGGCACTTTCAAAAGTATGACTGCATTGTGCTTTAGGCACATCATATAAAGATGCAGATTTCAACTTGCTATGTAATGATGGATCATGATATAGTGTAAGAATAAAGGATATTGGTGAGGTAGGAAACTGAGGATAGGTCCTAGAAAATGAAAAAATCTGCATACTCTTTTAATGTTACAATGATAGTTAACTCTTAGATTTTTATAAATATTTGAATGTGTCATTCCTTATCTTTCAAATCTGTTTTCTGTATTAGTTAATCAAATAATACCTTAAACTGTTGAGTACTTATACTCAAGAGTTAAATGATTATTAAGAATAGCTGAGTGTAACTGAAGCAATGCTCAGTTATACCTGAAGAAAAACTTGTGGTTGGACGGAGATGATCTGGCTGGTGGCCCTGCAGAGGGCTACAGATGGTTGCAGGGATCAGGAACAAAAAGAGTTTGAATGAGGTGTGACTTGGGGCTTCCAAGCTGGTGGTGGGGACACACACAGCACAAGGATGCAGACAGCTTGCAGTGCAAGTGCAAACCGGAGTCTTTCATTCTACCACTGCAGCCTGGTGGGACCCTGTCACCCCTTCTTCCCAGGGAGTTTATCACGAGAATGTATCTCAAGACATCCACTTTATGTTCAGTGAGATTCTGTAGCGCAGCCCTTGCAGAGGGTGTAGGAACGAGGTGTAGCACGAATCTTGTGTGAATGGCATCGCCCAGTTTTCTTTGAAATACAGAAAGCCAGCTAAATATCTTTATTTCATTTATGTAATTATGGATTAAGATAGTGGTCAGTTGAAGCATTTTGTTTCTTTTCCCTTGCTCCCTCCTCATTATTTTTTTAAAAATTGTGTTTTCCTCAACTAGGCCTTATTCTCCTTCCAAATTGCTCCATTGAAAATGTTTTGAGGAAGGACATCTTTGTGGACAGGGTTTTTAGGGAGTGTTTCCGTTTCCATGGCGGACCCAGGAACAAAGTGTGACAGCTAGAAGTTCTGGGAGAATAGTTTGTTGAAAATGAGTGGGACAGGCCTATCCAGATTATTTCATTTTGTGTCAGTTTAGTAAAAGAAAATGAACCAAGGAAAACTGTGCTGGAGTAAATAACTTGCACAATGCTTTATACAGTATAAGTACTCACTAAACATTTATTTTATTTCTTTTTTAACCACTGATAAGCCAGCCTCATGTGGAAATGATCTACACTGTGGGGGAAATTGTGTAATGGTATATTCTGTTTAGAGAAAGATCATGTTTGAAAATTCAGATTTATTAAGCAAATGAATAATGGGATGATTATTTGCATTAAAAATTATGTTTGCTTTTAAAATGGCCAACTTTCACACTGCTTGTGTTTTTTTAATGATGACGTCATACTGTTAAAAAAGCTAGTTTTTCTTCATTCATTTAGTATTTTATTGAGCACCTACTCACTTAGTGCACAGAGCCAAAATGCTGAAGAAGTGGAGAATGCGTGGCATGTTTTAGTTGAACTGTGGCAGTATTTACAATGCATCAGTATTGGGTGACCATAGAGCAGTTGTCATTTCCAAGGAATTTCATGTATATCAACCCTTTACGTCTGATTACAACAAGTGAAGATAAGGCAGTCTGGTCATTTGGTAGATTTTGAAATTGCACTGAGGGGAGCTAAAGGATCTCTGGAGGTCCAGCATCTGGTTCTTGACAGTCCCCAGACAGTGACTCTGAGCTGACAGTGACTGAAGGGCGTAGACTGTGGGAGTCATGGTTATGTTTGTGTCCCTTACCAACAACACGCCTGATGCATGGTGGAGGGGTTCGCTAAACATTTCTGAATGAACGAATAAATAGATGGAACCTATCTAACTAAGTTAGATTGTCAACCTCCAGGTGAACCTCTGTTCTTCACTTGGTTTTCATATTGTGCCTGATACCGGAACTACTCGTATGCTCTTCTTATCTCCCCACTACTCGTTTAAAAGCTTCTTGAGGGAAGGGGTTATGAAATAACGTAGTTTTAAATCCCTCAAGGTACCTTGTCTTTCATGTTTTCAGCAAACTATGTGTGAAGCACGGTTGAGGTACTCAATGGTTATGTTTCTGAGGAGCTTGCAGTCAAACAAATAGAGGAAGAGAGTAGTCCTTCTGGTTAGTCTGACAGTGAGGTCGAGCATAGACCAGGCTGGAGTCTCTGAGCCAGAGTGGGCTGTGGGGGGGTCCACATCACAGTGGATCACTCTGCTTTGTGTTGACAGAGAAAGGGGGTTGGGAAAGGGTGAACCACCACATGTCTTCAGAGATTTAAATTTCTGAAGTCTTTACTGTTACTGTTTTCGGTTTAATTTTATTGCTTTTATAGCACTTGCATTTTAAATGCATAAAGTTCTATCTGTAGTTGTGAGGCAGATTGCCTTTTGAAGGTGGACCTCTGATCCTGAATTCTACATTTGACAGGCCCAGCTGGCATGCATCAGGCCTCCGATTACTAAACTATTTAACGTCTACACAAGTATCAAGGTGTAAATATAAAATTAATCAATAAACATTAGGAGATGGTGAATCTTGTGACAACATCCTAAGATGGAATACAGTTTTACATCCCTAATGCCATTTCAGTATTTCAGTTATGTTCAGGGAGGATCATGAATTACCTTGACAATCAGCAATGTCCCCTTTTGGCTTCTAATGTAAAAAACTGTTAGTGGACAATGCTGGTGATATCAGAAGGGGTGTGTGAAGAAGTGAGAACGTTGGAAGTCGGTATACTATATTTGGCATCTTCTGGTATTAGAATAACATTTAAATACATGGATTTTGTTTACAATCCCCAAAATGTAACTGTGATACTCATATTCTAAAGGGAAGCTGTTTGGCATTCAAGAGAGTGATTGATTGAACCCAGATCATTTAAGAATTATGAGTAGCAGTGTCATCTTTTATGTCTAATGATTTCTATTATTGTGTTTATATATCTAAAATATTAAATAGCAGACCCTATCACTATCAGTGTACCTATAAATGCCCAATAATAATGAAAATATGGGTACTGTCAACTGCCTTAAATATTTTCAACAAATACATGAATGTTTTCTTTTTTTACTCAAAGAATATAGTTACTATGTATTTTTCACCTCTCCATGATTATAGAGATGGAATAATTTTCATTCAAATAAAACTACTAAATATTTCATACCTAAAATTAGTGAGATTTAAATCATGCCCCCTAAACCTACTATATGCAGCCTGAAATGAAGATTAAATAGCATTTGTCTGCTTAGTATATAACAGATGTTTTCTGTGCTCGTATTTATAATGTGGTGGGATTTTAAATAATGGGGCACAAATTACTTTTCCAAAACATGCAGTGTTAGAAGATTTTAGTAAGTAGGACAATAAAAATTATGTGTTAACTGTTAATATATATCATGAATAAGGAAAAAAATCATTGAAATGGTTTACTTGGAACTTCATTTTGGGCACTTTCTTTTCCTTGAAATTGCTTCATCTCAAATATGGAAATTACATTTTCACATAGAAATTTCATATCTCTTTCTTTTCTTTCTTTTTTCTTTTTTGGAATGGAAATAAAATGTGTTGAATGCCTTGTTTGAATTATAAATAAATGTAATTCACAATCTGGTAACTGGAAGGGGAATAAAGTTTATTTGCAAAGAGTTACTTGATGTATTCCATTAATTCTGATAATTGTTCATATTATTGCAAAGATGTATCTTAATATATTCTTTCTTGAGAGTGTTTGGGCTCTGTAGCAATCTTATC